TTACTCTCTCTGCTGCCACTAGGAAAGGTTCCTCAATCCGCCCCCTCCCCGCCAAGCCCCCCATGGAGAATGGCAGACCTGTAGACTGCATACAAGTGATCTTGGCGATATCGCCAAGATCACTTGTACAAAACAAGCGGCTTCCCCGCTCTACATTTAGCTCTGCTTGCCCAAAGCAAGGCTAAATGTAGAAAACAAACTACCCGGATCTGCATGTTCTGGGCATCGGGAGATAGGAATTCCACACCCCGGCTGCCCCTCTACTCCCTGCAGCTCCAAGGCTGGGCCTTGGTTGGCCTTGTGGGAAATCCGGCCCTGTCTGCGTCTGTGTCTACTATACAGTGTCAATCAAAAGTAGTGGGAGATTTATTGTCATCTATTTTCTGAGACAATTTTGGCAATTGAAGTAATACATTGTTATTGCTCTAGTCTGCACAAATGTCTTGCACAGATAAACTGGTTATGAAGCCTGACCTTTTTATATGATAGCATACACAAAATGTTTTCACAGCTTGGTTTCTCCTATATATTTGTATTATTTGAGCAATATTATATCTGAATGGATAAATCTATTCTATATAAACAGCACTTTGGTGTTTGCGAATCATTTACAATGACGGGTAAGATGGGAGATCCATCTCTGCTACTGGCAGGAACTGTAAGAAGCTGCAGTCCATTTCCAGTGGTGGACTTTCACAAGTATGATCCCTCACTGCATTTATAAATGTCATCAGGATCCTGACATATGGATCTTCATCTTTTCAAGACCTGTCTCTCGTGGTTTTCTGGATAGGCACTACTAATAGAAAATCAGTGAGTTAGCTGGTTGCGGGGGTGTAGTGTGGTATTATTGTGTGGCTGAGCTATGAAGTGTAGTAGAGATATTTGGAGAGATCTCACTGTAGGTATCCCAGTGACTCAGCTTTGCAAAAGGCCACCCAAAGCTATGTAATGACGTTTGGACAAACCTGCCTTTTTATATAAAGACTGGAGGGGAAAGGGAATGGTAGACATAAAATGAAGTGAAATAAATATCTTCAATGTGAGGGAAATGCCTTCTAAGCCAGCTAGAAGTGTCTACATTCTCCTAAGATTTTTCCCCTTTTTTTGTTTTTGGGACAACTCAAAACATTGGATTGTCCCTTACTTTCAGTCCTGGTGACAATGGACACCAACTAACAGGGACTGCAATTAAAACCTGACAGGGTTTTAGTCCCTTACAACTCTATACACTTCCTTAGTGCCCTAAAGAATCACTTCCTTAGTACCCTAAACGCCTAATAGTTCCAATAATTTTTAATACATTTGAGCATATTTGTGTGGCAGCTTTATGAAGGGCAAGAAGGACAGCCCAGTCAGCAGAATGGTTAAACACAACCTTTTACTTTCCTGTAAATTACGCTCATATATTTTATTGTTCAATAAGTAAAATAAACAATACTCCATTTCCCTCTTAAAGCACTTGGAATGTGAATATAAATGAGTTTACTTTGCATCTCTATAAGGTGCAGAGAGCTTCATCATACATTTTCCACATTCTCCGGTTTAAACAGGTCAAAACATCTGTCATGCATGAGGTAGGAAAACGGTTCTAGCTAATAAATTTGTGTCAGGATTCTTAGTTAACACCACGTTTCATACATCCAGAGTGCCGTACCTGCATAGGTAATGAGATCAATGCTAAACGCAACGAAGAGATTCAGGATGACAAATGGAAGTTATAAAAGGAGCATTACTTAGAATGCTGAATGTTTAAGTATTAAATTCACACCTGCACATTGGGGCCTGTCAGTTTCCTTTCTCCATTTTAAATGATTCTAGATGTAATAGTTTTAATGATCATGCAGCCTATTGCTTCAATTATTAGTCCGCTTAGAATAAAGAACCAAATGATCATTTCTCTTTTCTGCTGCTTCCAATGGACGGACATTGGATGTTTCAGTAAAAAGCCTAATGTGGCTTAGGTAATAATGTAGTCAATGAAAAGTGTAGGATAGCTTCTATTAATCCACTCTTTTAAAAAAAAGAACATCTAGTGACTGGTGGCATAATACCTGAAATGGTCTTTTAACAATGTAATTTACCTTCCTTATTATAACGCTTGGTCCATGTATTGTTTCTGACTGTATGATCCCCGTGCCATCCCATTCCTATAGCATTAATGTACTGTACTTCTTCATATTTACAATTATTTTTATTGTGTTGGGTAAATGTTCTGTGACCATGCCTCCTATTAATGGACAATTTGCATTTCCCCTTTTTGTACATTGAGTATTCTTTAATAAAAACTATTGTGACAAAAGAAGTGTGGTGCTACACTCACAGAACTGAGCTGCCAAGTTCTGGTTATGTTCATATCCAGCAGCCCTCTTCCCTTTTAAAGAAACTCTATCATTGTATTAAAAAAATAAAAACCATGCATTCCCTGCAAATGAAAGAGTGAATACTCACTGCCCCGTTGACAGTGCTGCAGCCTGCAGATATTTACTCTTTACCGCTGTCAAAGAATCTTTAGCATCATATACACTTCAGGGTGCATTAAGCCCCTACATCACTACTGGGCCCTACTCTTTCCTTTGCAGGGACATATATATATATAGTATAGTATAGAGTGACCGAGGCACTTTAAAGCAGACCATACTGTACATTTGATATGGGTATGTTCTCCATGTGGTGGCTATATGTCCAGGGGTGTAACTAGAAATCCCAGGGCCCCATAGCAAAATTTTGTAAGGCGCCCCCACAACGAAACCCCCTGCCCCCATTTTAATAGTAATGCACTGATCAGCACACCTTTGAGCGTTTTTATTTGCTTTTCAGCGTTGAAACGTGACTAAAAACAGCCAAAAATGCTCTTTCAAAAATCGTGCGGAGACCATGGTGAAACGCTTCCGCCCTGGTGTGAATGGCGCCTGAATGAGGCCTAACACTTTACTTTAATACTGTCACACCAATGAGAGGCTGAGGAAAGGGGGATTATTAAAAAAATGAAGGAACGCTCAACTGTAAATAAGCGATTTATGTTATAAATGTTTTTTGCACTGTGTTGGTGTTTGTGTTGTGATAAAATGATACAGGCGCATATTTAATTACAACACAAGGTATCACAATGCACCGCAATGCGTCACAAAGCTTTGCCATGTGCTGCCACAGTTAATGTTTTATTACAAAAGAAAAAAATCATGCACTGCGATGTGTTCTAACAACGCACTGCAGCGCATGTGCCTGGTGCTGTCGGCTAGAACTAGGAGGTGAGTGAAAAGCACTCATCTCATAGTTCTCCTTTAAATCATGCCTCTTTATTGGATCATCTTCTTCTTTACTGTCCTTTTCAGCTGTCCCTCCAGCGACGGTGCGGGTCTCCGATCCAGCGCTGACTTCTCTGGCCTCCTCTTCTCTGATGTGCCACGGTGCCTGTGCGGGTGCACGCTGCTCCATAGACTTACCTTGTGTCTCTCCTTGTCTCCCGGCCGAACATCTGAACTGCGCATGCGCCCGCCCCAAGATCCTTTGCGGCAGTCCGAGACTCTTCAGATGTTCGGAAGGGAGCGCGCGGCGAAGACACAGGTAAGTTTAAACCTGTTTCAAAAGGTTGTTTTTTTTTGTAAAGTTTTTGCATATATCTACTGCTTACAAGCAGTAGATATATGCAAAAAAATGAGGATTTAATAACCCTTTAAGTCTCCTGATATTAATATAGATCATTTAGTAACTTTACATGAACAAATCCCTGATATGTCCCAATTTACAGCAACAGTATAGTTTGTTTTGTTTTTCAAAAAAGCTGCACCTGTTAAAGTGACACTAAGCTTAAGAGATAAATCTTAAAAATGCATTTAAGTACCCTAACTATTAACTAAAATGTATCCTATTTGTATATCACTCGGCTGAATTCAGACTAACACGGTCCTTCCTTTTGGAGGGTGGCTACTTTTGTTCCCCATGGTCCCTGTGTGTGTTGCAAAGTAGCCAGCGCTGCAAGCTTGTTCCTGTGATGGACTATAACATCAATAAAAATTAGCTAATTAAAGGTGACACTGATGTCCATCACAGTAGTGATCTTGGAGCGGTGACTACTTTACAACATACACAGGGACCATGGGGAACAAAAGTAGCCACCCACCAGAAGGAAGGACAGTGTCAGCACCAATTCAGAGATGATTTGAGGATCTACAGCTGAATGATACACTAATAGGATACATTTTTGTTACTAGTTAGGGTACCTGAATGCATTTTTAAGATTTAACTCCTGAGTTTAGTGTCACTTTAAAATTAAAGAGAACCCCTTGAGCTCCAGTCCAGTGACTTTGCCTAGGTTGAGATAATCTCATTGGTCTGCTGTGCAGTAGGAAGCATTTCCTCGATTCAAACTGCAATAAAGTAGCTTTTAAGCAAGGCAAAGAGCTGAAGGAAACAGAAGGGAACTGATCTGTGTTATACATTTGTAAACCCAGCAAGAAACCGCACAGGCACTGGGATTTACATGAATGTGCCAGGTTTGGGCTAGCCTCTCAGTCACGGGAAGTAGATGCCGATCCTGGGTGATACCTGAACAAAGCTGACCTTCTGGGGAGAAAAGCAGATGAAAACATTGTCAGGGTGAGTTCTGTGAACTCTATGAGAGGTAATAAACACCTGTAAATGTTACACTTACACATTACTTAGCATGCATGCACCTAACAAAAAAATCTATGTTTGATGCAAGGTCAATGTTAACCTCCTCAACTACAATGACAGCTTGAAGAAGAACTCTGGGCAACATTCTTATTAACCCTTGCAGTGGGGCTTCTAACTGCTCATTTTCGTCCAGAGACTAAAAAAAGTTATACTCACCCAAACCTCAGATGTGGGTTGCTCTTAGACAGGTCCTTCCAGCCGTGCTCCCCTCCACTGGAGCGGTCTAAGGACCCTTGAGTCATCACGTCCAATACATTGTGTATTGGATATGAGAATGTGGAGGGACATATCCTCTTTGCAGGCTGGACAGAGCGCTGGGACAGATGACCAGCTCCGAGGTTTGGGTGAGTATAACTTTTTTATTTTAGTCCCAAGATGAAAATGAGCAGTTAACCCATGCAGTGCGGTGTAGCACGACCTCAAGGGTTAAATTCTATCTCCAGCCCCTTGCAGTGGGGCTGCCCCCGCACTGCTCTTTTATGTCTAGGGCACCCCTGTAAAACTTTTACTTACCTGATCCCCACTCTGGCACCCACAGCCTCTTCCTCCCCTACACTCAAGCATCATCACATACAATGCAGGGACAGACCGCAAGCCAGAGCAGAGGATGGATGAGGAAAGAGCTGTTTTCTGGTGGAGCGAAGATCAGGTAAGTAAAAGTCCTTTACATAGGTCCCCTTAACATAACAGCACAGCTAACTCATGCAGTGCGGAGGTAGCCACTACAAGGGGAATATTTTACATTTCCCTGAAGATAGCCTTTTAAACTGATCAGTTCCCTTTACATTTTATTTTCCTCCAGTTTCAGTAAAAGACTCTTAGTTCTGTATTATCTTGATTCTTTTTTTGTTCATCTGGTAGCTGTGCCTTTGCGAAAGCAATAGAAATGAAATATATACAGCAGGCGGAATGTTTTTCAGCCAGCTTGTATTTCTTCCAGGATTATTCTTCCTGAAATACCTAGATTAAATATTAACCAGCAGCCTAAATGCCTCCAAATTTATGGTAATAAAAAAAGACGACTCTGAAGGACCTCCTGTCATCGGAGTGCTTCCTAAATCAGGAATATCTGACTGCAAATTGCTCCTGAACATCTTCTTAGTGTGGTATTAATCAGTTGCTATAAATTTCTTCATTAGGATTGTCAGAAGAGCCACTGGCATCTTTAATCAGTTGCCAGGCAATTAGTTGAATTCAGTATCACTACCTGCATCTAATTGAATTTATTGTTATTTTGTCAAGATAAATAGCATTTTGAAAGTCATCTAGCCTTGTTGGATAATTCATCATTGTTATACCAAGGAATAGACTCAAGTATAAACAGATTAATTTTTGTAGGCAGTGAAAAATTGAGGTGCCAAAGGAAGTCTATGGCACAGAGATTATCCTGGTCCCTGTCAAGAGTTTCTCATGCCTTGTATAGAATGGAGTCTGGATGTTAATAGGCTGTACTGCCATGTACAATTTTGTTGCCTAGCTTTTTAAAGCATTACTTACTTATGCATTTACTCGTTGTTCACTTCTGCTTTATCCAAAGGATAGTATTCTGGGTACTTCACATTTGTACTTATTGGGGTCAATTTACTAAAAGAGTACATTTTTCACATAGCTCAATGAAGCTGTATTCACTTCAATCTTCAAGTTATGTATAGAAATTCTTTTTATTTAATTCCACTGCACATGATTGAGTATTGGATGTATCTGCTCAGTGGAGTAACTACCAGAACTGACACACAAAGCAGATACATTTTTATCATATCATTCCGCCCCATGACATTAATAATGACGAAATTAAATTCATAACAATTATGGATAGGGAAAAAATGCAGACACATTTGTCATTACTGTGGTATCTCCTTACATAGGTGGTCAGTCCAGAAGCACCCCCCTAATTTATTGCTAAGTGCTTAATTATCTCCTTTCATTGGTGGCCGGTGAAGAAGCACTCCCTTACATTGGTGGTTAGTGCAGAAGCACCCTCTTACAGTGATGGTCAGTGCAAAAGTGCCCCCCTACATTGGTGGCAAGTGCAGAAGCACTCCCTTACACTGATAGTCAGTGCATGTGATCTCTTTCCTCCCCGCTGGGCGCTGCTCTTTGTCCCAGCAGGAAGGAGAGAAAGTGACAGCCGGTCGAGCGCTGTGGGAGGAGACCGCCGTGAGCGGCCGGTGTCTCTCCGCCCACAGCGCTCAGCCACCTGGGTCTGTTTAGACCCCTAATTTTTCCCCGAAGCCCCTAAAAGTAAAGTAAAAAAAAAAGCGGTCAGTGCAGAAGCACTCCCTTACATTGGTAGTCAGCGCAGAAGCACTCCCTTACATTGGTAATCAGTGCAGAAACACTCCCTTACATTGGTGATCAGTGCAGAAACACTCACTTACATTGGTGGTCAGTGCAGAAGCACTTCCTTACATTTGTAGTCAGTGCACAAACACTCACTTACATTGGTGGTCAGTGCAGAAGCACTTCCTTACATTTGTAGTCAGTGCAGAAACACTCACTTACATTGGTGGTCGGTCAGTGCAGAAGCATTCCCTTACATTGGTAGTCAGTGCAGAAACACCCCTCTACATTGGTGGTCAGTGCAGAAGCACCTACATATATTGATAGTCATTGCAGAAGCACCTACCTAAATTGGTAGTGAGCGCAGAAACACCCCTCTACATTGATGGTCAGTTATGATTATGCCCCCTTACATTGGTAGTCAGTGCAGAAGCACTTCCTTAAATTGGTGATCAGTGGTTAATTCACCTATATGTTGGTGGTCCATTGAAACTCAAAGATTACTTACCTGATAGAGGAGAGATTTTGCTGCTCCCATGTTTCATGCTCTGGTCAAGTGACTTTGGTATCTATGCATATTTCTATCACATGCTCAGTCTGAAATGACCAGATTTGTGACATGTATAACTGTAAACAATGCCTACATAGGAACAGGGTAAATGGAAGTGGGGTGAATGAAGGTGTGCAAATATGAGCCTGTCTCTTACTTCTCTTCCTGTGATCTGTGAAACATACTGTACAGAGCACTTTCATAATCAGTTCTCCTTCAGCTGCTCAGCATACATGAAAGATTTCCAATAACTGTCCACTGGAACACAACACATGCAAAGCTGCTGGAGAAATTCACTTGTACATCAGCCTCTTTCCATTACCTCAACTCATCTTGTGAAAGAATGCGTCGCTCTCAGGAGCTCAGTGAATTCAAGCGTGGTACCGTGATAGGTTGCCACCTGTGCAATGCATGAAATTTCCTTGCTACTAAATATTCAGCGGTCAACTGTTAGTGGTATTATAACAAAGTGGAAGCAACTGGGAACAACAGCAACTCAGCCATGAAGTGGTAGGCCACGTAAAATGACAGAGCGGGGTCAGCACATGCTGAAGCGCAGAAGCCGCCAACGGTCTGCAGAGTCAATAGCTACAGACCTCCAAACTTCGTGTGGCCTTCAGATTGGCACAACAACAGTGCGTAGAGAGCTTCATGGAATGGGTTTCCATGGCCGAGCAGCTGCATCCAAGCCTTACATTACCAAGTGCAATGCAAAGCATCAGATGCAGTGGTGTAAAGCACGCTGCCACTGGACTCTAGACAAGTGGAGACGTGTTCTCTGGAGTGCCGAATCACGCTTCCATGTCTGGCAATCCGATGGACGTGTCTGGGTTTGGCGGTTGCCAGGAGAACGGTACTTGCCTGACTGCATTGTGTCAAGTGTAAAGTTTGGTGGAGGGGGGATTATGGTTTGGGTTGTTTTTCAGGGGTTGGGCTTGGCCCCTTAGTTCCAGTGAAGGGAACTCTTAAGGCATCAGCATACCAAGACATTTTGGACAATTTCATGCTCCCAACTTTGTGGGAACAGTTTGGGGATGGTCCCTTCCTGTTCCAACATGACTGCGTACCAGTGCACAAAGCAAGGTCCATAAAGACATGGATGAGCGAGTTTGGGGTGGAGGAACTTGACTGGCCTGCACAGAGTGCTGACCTCAACCTGATAGAACACCTTTGGGATGAATTAGAGCGGAGACTGCGAGCCAGGCCTTCTCATCCAACATCAGTACCTGACCTCACAAATGTGCTTCTGGAAGAATGGTCAAACATTCCCATAGACACACTCCTAAACCTTGTGGGCAGCCTTCCCAGAAGAGTTGAAGCTATAATAGCTGCAAAGGGTGGGCCAACTCAATATTGAACCCTACGGACTAAGACTAGGATGCCATGTACATATGTCCCCATATTTAGCTTGACTTAATTTTTCTGAGCCTTATAGCTTTGCGTCAGAGCTCACCCGAAACCTGACAATTGCTGCCCTATGAACTGCCTGACTTCACACTGCCTCCCTAAGACAGAGCCCAGGAGGAATGCAAACAATTACTGGGCCTTGTTATGTGACCCTGTTATGCATCCTTTGTGGTGTGAAGTGGGTGATGATGAAAGGAAGGGATCCTGTAGTTACTTCAAAAGGTTATGAATTTCAGACATCTCAACTCTCCCTGATGTCCCGGGAGTCTCCCGCTATTAGCGGCTCCCGGACACCCGGGAGAGAAAAATTTTCTCCCTGAAAGGTTTACTCTGCTTCATCTAGCAGAGTAAACCTTTCTCTGCTCTGTTTTTTTTTCTTGACATCGGGGGCCGCCGGCCCCCGTCAGTCAGAAAAAAACGGCATAGGAATAATAGCTAGATTGCTATTGGCTATTGCAAATTGAAAAAACCAATAGCAGATTAGCTATTGCACCTGCCCATTGCTGCTGTCAATCAGCAGAGGTGGACCTGACGTTCTCCATCAGGTCCTCCTTTACTGATTGACAGCAGCAGAGGGCGGGTGCAATAGCCAGCTTGCTATTGGCTATTGCAACTTGAAATAGCCAATAGCAATCTAGCTATTCGTTCCTATGCTGTTTTTTTTTGTTCTGACCGCAGCAGCTGTCAGAATACTAATAAAACAGCAGATAACAAAGGAAGCATTAGCTTCTTGCTATCTGCCATCATTTTATTTCAGGGGGGTGCTCTCTTCCTTGTTGTTGCACACCCCCCTCTCCCCCTCCCCCGGTAGGTGGTGGGTGGGTGGTGCAGGGGGACAGAGAGCACCTCTCTCAAATGAGAAGGGCACTTTTTTCAGGTTGGGATCCCTGGAATTTTAAGTCTCTGTTCACATCTGGGGGTTAAAGACTACAACACTCAGGCCCCGTTCACATATAGCGAATTGTCGTGCGATTTCCGCCGCGATATCGCGTATTTTTGCCGCACGATATCGCGAGAAGTCGCCGGCCAATGCTATTCAATGGAGCTGTCTTAACTCCACGTCGCGGTCGCAAGTCGCTTCTACCGGACCCTTTTTTCGGCGGATTTTGCTTTTTTTCTATGGAGCCCGACGGAGAAGGTCGCGCCACCGTCGCTGGATCGTCGCTGGAACGTCGCCCCGAAAGTCGCGATATCCCGGCCGCTGCAAAGGTATGTCGCTATATGTGAACGGGGTCTGAAACTGAGGTTTTTCATTGTTTTAAATTGCCCATGTTCAAAAAGTACACAAGCTATTTTTTGGCCCCATAGACTTCAATGGGATTGCCTGTAAATGCACAACATAGGCACTATTAATTTTTTTTCCAGTGTTTGTTGTGCGTTTTACGTGCAAGATCCAGCCCTCCTCCTCTTTG